CCAAACTAGGCACCCACATGCAGTGGTTTAGTTATCACAAGCCCAGTGTCACACACTCTAGATTCAGCCACCTATGGCCCGCTTGTGGCTCTGGGAGGACATCTAGACCCAAACCGTAGCATTGCAACCTCATGCAAAAATTACAACAGGGACATCTGCTGGTGCTCTGTCTCTTCCACCATAGGGGAGTACTGTCCTTGTTATTAACCCTGAACATATTTGTTAATCCTCATAGTGAAGGATTATTGTTTTCAAATAGCCTACGTAACTCTCTTCATTTTGCCCTTGAAACTTTCCCTTTACCCTCTGTCCCTTTCGAATACACTTGGGGTTTTCATGATAACTGTGTTCCGTGCTGAGTGCTCCTTGCTTATTCCCAAATAAACATTGGTATTCTTTAGGGTCTCCCTGTCTGTCTGTCTTTCTGTTTAGAGTGAGGCTGACAAGCCATAGAGGTTGCAGACCCAGTAGCAGTTAGCATGCTGTAGAGATGGTTTTCAGTACACTTTAATTCCGACAGTAACCACTAAATTCTTTATCAAGAATTGAGTTTCATTTTTCCTTGGCTTTATAGATTTCACTTTTTCTGTGATGTTTAATGTTTTATTGATACTTTATTTCTTGAGTAGTTCCTGTTGGGAACCTCAGGCAGTGTGTATATGACTTAGGCAATGGGGAGTAAAGAAGATTGAAAACTAATTATTGTTGGTTGAGTTTAGAATTTCTAATCTGTCTTGATTTACAGCCAAGGCCTCTGCTGGCTTTAGTAGGATGCAGTCAGACTACAGGGTATAAAAGCAGATCCCAGTGACAAAGTCTTAACTTATGACCCAGAAAGCATAGCTTTCTATCTTGAAGGCAGTTAGAATAATTTTCTCGCATTATAAATTCATTTTTGCATTTTGTGCTTGAGAAGCCCCCCAGAGTGGTATGGGTGACCTTCTGACACTTAGGATGTTTTAAGATTGAAAAATAAAGGGCACATCAGACCGAGTCCAGAATTTGAGATGGAACAGCCTGTGTGGAAGGTAGAGCTTTCCTCCTTTCTAGTGGTAATAACCCCTCTGGGCAAGAGCCAGTGTCACTCTCCAGGTCCCTCCCCCACTGTATATTTTGTGTACAGTGCTGAACTTCTGCTCTTGTGTTGAATGAATGTATTAATATAGGAAAAGCATACAACCCAGCACATAAAATGTGTGCAGGACACCTTAGCTGGGTTTTTCGAAGAATGAATATGATTGTTAATGCTTAATAATTTGAGCTCTTGAGCTAGTCTTGCTGGGTTCAAATTCTGATTCTGTTCCTTTCTAGGTATGTGATGTGGAGGAAGTTGTATAATCTCTCTGTGCCTCAGTTTCCTTTTCTTGTTTTAAAGTGATGATAATAATAGTATTGACCTCAGAGAGGTGTTGAGGGGATTAAATGTCTACCCGAGGAAGGAGTTAAAACAACATCTCCAGTTCAAGCTGTTATTGTTTAGTGGGTCTAATATGTGACACCCCCTCCTCCTAGCCCCTGTATTCAAACTGAGAGAGAAACATGGAATCAAAACGCTACCTTCATTGCAGGTAGAGGCTTGTTTGGAAAATGTGGCTTGGGAGTTTCAGCCCAGTGGGCCCCCTTAGCCCCTGCATTTAGGCAGCTCTGGGGGTAAGCAACCCCCACCCCCAACCCCAGATGGAGCAGGGAGAATTGTGCTGCTTGCAGTTGTTGGCTTCCAGAGAAAGCTGCCCCCACCCTCCTGGGTGCTTTTCCCAATCTGCTTGGTCAGAGAAGGCCCTCGCTTTCCCTGGGAGTAAGGTGGCAAGGCAGGAATCCTGGCCCACTGGGGGACACTCCTCCCAAACTCTTTCCAGCAAAAATGTAAATGTGCAGGTAGCTTCCTCTAATCCCCGAAAATATTCTTCTTCCCATTTGTTTTCTTCCCCATTATTTTCTTATAGACTTAAGAAAATTGACATTTCCTGTACATGGTGTACACATTGTAGCCACCTGAATCTTTGTTCAACAAATGCAGTGTCCGGCAGTTACTTGCTAGAGAGTGTTAGGTATGCTTTGTATTGGTCACTGAGAACGAGAGGCTGTCACTACACTCCTTTGGGACTGATAGGGACAATTTGTATGGCCAATCTTTCAGTTAAAGAGGGGAAAGCAGGTGTAAGGTCTGGAAACTTCTGTGAGCAAGAGAACTGATAAAGTGGAGAAGCTGTGTTAATAAACTATTTCAACAGAGAAAGCCAGCCCTGCTCCTCCTATGAAAATGTCTTCACTGTTGTATTAGCTCCAGGTAACAGAAGCTTATAAAATAGCAAAGCCCGAATGGAATTTTATTTATTACTTACCTCTAATCACAGTGCTAGCTTTTAGCCAAGCCAATTACTGCAGTCATTTTCATGATAATTTGGTTTAAAAGTGAACAGAATTTGTAGTTATAAATGTAAAAGCTGGAGGGCAGATGCTAGGGGGAGATAAGGCTGTTGCGGGTTCCTCCCCCCATTTAGAAAGAATCTTTCTTGGCCATTTCACTCTGGTCCGTAGTTGAAGTTATTTGTATGTCAAATCCACAAGCATTTGTTGTACATTTTATTGATATGTTGAAAATCACGTTAGCTATCGGGGATATAGATTTAAAAGTACTCTGTCTAGAGAGGAAAGTCAGCGAAATAGGGAATTGTAATATTTTGTTCCACCGGGCACAAAAAGAGCCGAAGGGGTGGTGTAAGGGCGGAGTCGGGAGTGGCTGGAGGGAGGGAGAGGTGGATGTCACTGCCGGCTGGAAGACGCCAGCATGTTAACCCATACCAGTGCTGCTTTTCCTGAGAGAGCTTCGTAAAATTGTCCAGCAACATCAAAGCTTTTCTACCTTTAAAAAAAATTCTAGTTGTAAAGTGATCTTTTGCTGAATTAAAGAATAACAAAACAGTAATCACAGGTTGGAGGGAATCTCGTTGCCCATCCCTTCTCTGGAAAGAGACCTGAGCTCTCTGAGCAGATAACACAGAGTCATCTCATAAATTGGAGCAGTAACATTTGTCTCCTGGCTTCTTTTGGGAGTCTTAAGAGAGGTAACTTGTGTGGTTCATTCCCCAGACCCACCCTGTTCTTTTATTTAGTAAATCTTCATTGCATTATTTTCATCTCAATACACTGCCTCCTGCACCTCTCTTCCTAATGAATGCTTCATCCTTTACTTTAGATCATCTGCTCGTATCTAAAGTCCCCCTGTACATCCCCTAAAGTTGGGCATCTTCCCCTTTCCAGTCTGCCCACCGGCCTCTTTTCTGTGCTGCTGACTGCTGTAATTTGCCCCGTTGTATTTGTTTTGAAGATAAATTGCGTATATGTGAGCTTGTGTGAAAAAAGCTTTCATGAATTAGGACAGTTGATTTATTAGAGTGGGGAAGTGGGACCAATTCTGGATGCTCTGTATGCAATGAAAAACCCATGTTTCCCTGTCTTGACAGGGCCTTTGTGAGGGAGGGGATCCCTCCATTGGGCAGGAGGCGGGACCAGCAGTGATGTAATCCCAGTGCTCTTTTATCATAGGATTCCCGATTCATTGTCTTCAGGCAAGGCCATCTGTGCTTTAGGGTTTTGTTCGTTTATTCATTTTCCAACTTCTGCATCTGCCACCTTTAGACATGGCTTTTATTTTTGATCATGTCACCCTGACTCCATAACCAGGAGAAAACATGTGATGTGGTCTCATCTCTTCCTTGGTGGCAGCGCTTTCTCTTCATTAGGGACGCAAGCGTGTACATGACACTGATCTATTTCGCATCCTTACACTGAGCTCTGTGGTAACTGGTTTTTTGTGGAAAGTCACCTTTGTATTTTTTTAGACTTGCTTACATTTGAAAAGAGAACTTAATGAATGAATGGGTTTTTGTGGCCCCAGTTCACTTATTATTTTAATTTTGGACCATCTCAAAGTTCTTCGCCAGTGTCTCTCACTCCTGGCTTTATTTTGGAATTACTTAGGGCCATAAAAATAACCCAAGCTTCCGCCAAGGTGCTTTACCAGAAATCTCTAGGCATCCATCTCCCTGCGTGATTGATTCTCAGGCACAGCCATGGCTAAAAACCAAGGCTTTAGGTTTAAACTAGAGATGAAATTGTGCTCTTTATATTTTTGGATTCATTTTCTATTTTAAATTAAAAAAAAAAAAAACTGAACCAGGTCACACGCGTCAGCAATGACATGCATATCTTCAAAAGAGAGGTGTAATCGGGAGCAACTGCTCCTTGGACCCTTAAATGTTCCGGGAATTTGGAAGAACCCACTGCTAGCTCGGAGCAGGGACATAGGTGGTAAGGTGAGAGTCTGCATGGAAGAGTGCTTGTCTGTTGTGATCACTAGAAAAATCTGAACTGCTTCACTGCTTCTGCCATTAGGTCACTTTCTCGTAGCCAGTAAAATAGTGTAAACCCGCTCCTGGTGGGAAGGTAGTTATTCTGTCCATTTTGTGGGTGGAAAATTGAGGCTTAGAAATAAATAACCTGCTAGGAGCTGCATAGCTGGTGATTAGCAGAGCTGGACATTTGGCCTAGGCTCTGATGCTGAATGCACTGTCCAGTATGGTACCCTTGAAATCCACAGCCTCACAGAGTGTTTGCAAGCTCTGAACGGAGCACTAGCCAGCGTGGCTTTTCTGGAAGGGCCATCTCTTTGACCTTAGACATTCGGTGGTAAACGCTAGAGACCGTTTCTGGGGGGCCCACTGTCTGAGGCTTCTCATGCAGTCTGGCTGTCTCTAGAGTGCGAGTAGAGGCAATTGATAGGCTATTCAGCCATCTTTTTGCTTGTAGAGCAGGTGTCTTAGCAGACATGCATTGAGATTTGTCAAGGAGTTCTGGAAGCTGCCTGTGAATTTCAGGCAGCAGCGTGTGTTGTGCTATCTCAGAACCTGGGACATGAGAAATTGGAAAAGGTGGGAAACGTACCGCGAACAAAGTGATGCACCTGTGACAACGTACACAAAGAGCTTGCTGGTACTGACTCTTCCGCACTCTTCTTTGTTTTGTTCACGTAGAAACCTGATGTCCTGACCACGGGAGGTGGTAACCCAATTGGAGACAAACTTAACATTGTCACTGCAGGGCCCCGCGGACCCCTTCTTGTTCAGGATGTGGTTTTCACTGATGAAATGGCTCACTTTGACCGAGAGCGTATTCCAGAGAGAGTCGTGCACGCTAAAGGAGCAGGTGAGAGCTGAGTTCATTTCTCATAAAAGGATCATGTCGGAACACCTTTGTCAAGTTCATTTAATCAAAGTGCCAAGTCATCATTTTTGTTGGGAGAAGGAAAAAAAAAATTCCAAGAGAGGATTTAGTAAGCGATGACCTCTTTTTGGCGAAGGTTGAACATTATATATATATAACATAGTTCATTTTAAAAAGAGTAATCTTCCACTTCTTTCATTGTGCAGTTCAGGGAAGGGATAAAAATATACAAATTCAGATACAGGAACATACACTGTGAACTGCAACTAGATTTAAATGGTGCTCTTACTGGATGAAAAGCCAAGTGAACTGCAAAACCGAGTGTGGTTGTGTTAGAGTGGTAGGTTTGTGGGGATTTTTTTTTTCTCCCCTTTTATCTATCCAAAACTTTTGTCTTACTTTTTATGATGGCAACGAAAAAGTTAGAATGATGATATTTAAAAGAAAGCTAAAGCCTTGTTAGGAAACACAGCTCCATTGGAAGGCAAGAAAACGTTGTACCGTCTTAGCCCGCTTCGCTGGACTTCCAGTTAGGAGTTCCTCACTTCTTTATTCCTTCTTCCTTGATGATTTCTTCCAGTTTTTCCTGCATCGTGTTTCTTTTCCACCATGACTTGCTATGCCACTTGTTGTTTGGTTTTTGGTTGTGTCTTTGTTACTTGCTCAGAGTATTCTTACCTTCCCTATATTTTCTTTTACTCTCCTGCCTTTTCCACGCTTTCTCCTCCAGGCCCGCTGAGGTCCTGTGTCCTTGGGTCAACCTTGACCAGCTACTCTCAGCCTTGTTCATCTGCCCTTCTTAGCCCCAACTGTGCAGCACTCAGTTGAGCACAGAATGATGGCTGAGCTTTATATCTTACTCTTACGATTTTGTGTTTGATATCTCCTCTTCCCCCATCATAATGGCAGCTTCCAGAAGGCTGGTACTAAACCATCAGTTCCTTTTGTTACTTGGTAAGGGCCTGATGGTCCATGTCTTGGTCTCCTGGTAAGGATTTCTGTATCTTTCTAATTAGGGGCCTTTGGCTACTTTGAGGTCACTCATGACATCACCAAGTACTGCAAGGCAAAAGTGTTTGAGCATATTGGAAAGAAGACACCCATCGCAGTTCGATTCTCCACTGTTGGTAAGTCAGTTTGTTTGCATGACTGGGACTGCTTAGTTCAACCTATACCTTGTTTGGGGCAGTTTTAACTTAATTTTGAGAAAGACTTATTAGCAATTAGGAAACAAGCACATTCCAAAATTTTAGCAGGTTTTCCAGTTAAAATCAAAAGTATTTGGAGACAAGTAGGAAGTTTGTCAGTCTTTAGAAATCACTCTTATGCAGAGGCCAGTGCTGCAATCTGGTGACATTTGGAAAGACTTTTCCACAAGTGGTTGCCTCAAAGGGAAGTGTGGAGTAGGGAATCTTAGTGAAAAATCATGTAATGGCTGTCCAGCATTGAGAATTAAGTTTCTCCCAGCCATGGTTGGGTGCTTTACAGACATTAATCTGTAGATCAGCTTTGCATTTCAGAAAGGCTAAGTGATTTTTCTCTTGTTACAGAGCTAGTATTATACCTTTCCGGCTGTAACGCTGCACATCACAATGTGTTACTAATTTGATTTCAATGTCAGTCTTTGTGCATATTATAAATCTTGTAGAATGTCAAAATAACTGAGATTAAGAATGAACCTATATTTAAACTCATTTTCTTAATATTGGCCTTACCACTTTGACAACTCTGTGTCCACTGCTTAATCTTTGTAATTATTCTCCTGTTATTTTGATTGAGATTTTAATTACTTTCTTAGACATAGTTATGTTAAATGGATAATATTTTTAGCTGTTATTATATATACTCTCATTATTCTCAGTTAATTTTTTAATTTGATTTGTAGGCCAAATTAGCTGGTAGGTTGTAGACATAATCCCCCAGGCAATTAAATCCGTACTTTACTTCTAGAAAATAGATTGTAAAAGACCGAGCCTAATGTTTGTTTATAACTTTTGGGTCTAAGTAATGTGCTTTATGCTTATATTTTCCCATTTGAATGAAACAGAGCCTTATGCTTCATTTTCCCATTTGAATCTTCTAGCCGGAGAGTCAGGCTCAGCTGACACAGTTCGTGATCCTCGTGGGTTTGCAGTGAAATTTTACACCGAAGATGGTAACTGGGATCTTGTCGGAAACAACACCCCCATTTTCTTCATCAGGGATGCCATATTGGTAGGTGATAGAATATTTTGTGCTCTACAAATGTGGTTGGTTTAAGTTGATTTCAGCTTGTATAGGTTGGCATTTGAGGGGAGCACCTTGGAAAAGTAGAACGAAGAGACTTGGGTTGTCAGGATTGCCCTTTTAAATATATTTGTCTGAATTTCATAACATTTCATAAGATCAAGTAAAATCCCCATAGGTTTTGGGTTTGACATGTTGACATTCACTGACTTGGGGAATCTCTGAATTTTCCTTGAAGAACATTGAAAATTAGTTAAAAGAGAGGCTTTTACCAAGAAGCAAAGATACATGTGTTAGCTCAGCAAGAAGTATATGTTTGTGTGCACATGTGTGTATATTTTTTTTTCTTTAGAGAGATAATTTAGCTTTGAGTATATTTAAAATACTTTGGGGTGTTTTATTTGCTGGGTACATTTCACTTCAGGGTTTAACACTGTAAAATTTTAAGATTGTAATTTTAATCCATAAGCAGGGGGTAATGTATCACTTAAATTGGTATAATTCTTGTAAATTTAGTTTAAAAAATTTTTTTTCTTCCTCTTTTTTTCTTTTTTGTTTAGTTTCCATCCTTTATTCATAGCCAAAAGAGAAATCCTCAAACGCACCTGAAGGATCCAGACATGGTGTGGGACTTCTGGAGCCTGCGTCCCGAGTCCCTGCATCAGGTGAGGACCCTGTCTCTTTCCCTGTGCTGTGAAATATCCCCTGCTGCGCAACTGTTACCTGGGCCTCATGATGCGCTTCTCCAGTTTGGGCTGTTTTATTGGGATTGGCTTCTACCTGTCTTCTGGGGATGCTCCCTCACATTTCTTGATCGTGAACCAAGAATTTTATAATGACTGATTTTTGTCTTCCTTCATAGGTCTTTAGTGATGATGCTCGATAGCTGGAAACATTGTCAATTGATAGTTAGCAATACTGAGGGTTAAGATCTCTTAGTCCGAGGTAAAGCTATGTATTAGGGAAACGAGGGAAAATTAGTACTGAACTATTTTCCTGTTATAGTAAATTTCGAGTAACACCGTAGGCTACATCATGATGATAATAATCTCTATGTCATCCTGCTTTAAAATTCTTCTGATGGTGGTTTTCTGTAATGAAATAATAATGGTAACTCTTCTCATGGGATGGGCTGGTATGTTGCATGTGATTAAGAGATTTTTGGGAAACATAGAGATGCCTTAGAAAGTGAGCTATTTTTTGGCTTTCTGTTTCTGTTTCTTAGGTTTCTTTCTTGTTCAGTGATCGAGGGATTCCAGATGGACATCGGCACATGAATGGATATGGATCGCACACTTTCAAGCTGGTTAATGCAAATGGAGAGGCAGTTTATTGCAAATTCCATTATAAGGTACATGTCGCCTTTGGGGCAGAGGGTGCCAAGCCCCTACTTCCCACCTCTTCTTATTTCTCCTAAAGAGCTAAGCAGAGACTAAGCCTTCTCCCCACTTCCCTGTTTCTCTACCCCAAGGGTGGGCAGAACTGATCTGGTTGACCAGCACTATGAGTGTTTTGTTGGCCACCACCCAAGGGAAAAAAGTTCACGCTGCTGAATTAGAACTCTCTGTAGTCTCTTTTAGCTTTTTCTTTAGATGTGGCCAGAGGTAAGAGCACTTGGCTGTTGTCAACAGTTTAAGCTTCCTTCAGTTTTAAATATGTAATATCCAGATGGAATTTCCTTGACATTTAAAAGAATCCGGGGAAGCAAGTATAATTTCTTTTTGATAAATTCTGTGGTATAAGAGTTGATCAATAGAAGCATTGTAAGAAAGTTCAGGCTTTGCTGGATTCATAATGCTTCAATGAATTGTTAAATTTTGATAAGATGGGCAGTACATTTCAGTCTGAGCTCCTTTCTTTCATTCTATAGACTGCTTCTTTCTTTCATTCTATAGACTGACCAGGGCATCAAAAACCTCTCTGTTGAAGAGGCAGCGAGACTTTCCCAAGAAGATCCTGACTACGGCCTCCGTGATCTTTTCAATGCCATTGCCAATGGCAACTTCCCGACCTGGACTTTTTACATCCAGGTCATGACATTTGCTCAGGCGGAAACTTTTCCATTTAACCCATTTGATCTCACCAAGGTAAGTCAGCCAGGACTACATTGCTTTCTTTTCTAAGTCTCTTCTTAAAAGAGTTCACGGTGAGAAGTGATGGTAGCACTTCCGGGTCTCCTGGCTTGTAAGCGCCTGCCAGCCTGTCACTCTGTGCTGCTGACCCAGAAGTTCACTGGGCTCGTGTGGGTTCATGAAGGTGGCTCCAGGTGTTGCTATTACCAGGGAATAGAATTAAAAAAATGAATGTACTTTTGCTCTGGGAAAATGTCAATATTTACCATTTACTATAGTACAAGATTAAATTAATACATTGACCTGAAGTTCTTAACATGTTTTATTGGGCTCAGTCTTATTTTTGCTGCTTGATTATATGTTAATGTTGGTGTTTTTCTTAATGCCTTCCACTTGGCTGACTGGTCATTGTGACCATGGCACTGTTTTCAGATCTGGCCTCACAAGGACTACCCTCTTATCCCAGTTGGCAAGCTGGTCTTGAACCGAAATCCAGTTAATTACTTTGCTGAGGTTGAACAGATAGCCTTTGACCCAAGCAACATGCCACCTGGCATTGAGGCCAGCCCTGACAAAATGCTTCAGGTAAGCCTGGGGGGTTGAGATGTTCTGCACACACAAACACAACAAGCAACAGGGGACAATTTGTTGTGACTTTTATGTGAGGAATTAATTAGAATATTTACATAAACCCTGACCTGAGTGCTTAGTTCCTTGTGGGCCTTTTTGGGCTGTAAGATCCTTAGATGGGCATTCTTAGAGATGACCAGTTGTAAGTTAAGTTCCATAGAACAGTCCCTACCTATGAGAAGACATGAATATTTAGTCTCTTAATTTAAAAAAAGGCATAATAGAAGTACTATAGATATATGTAGAGTAATACATGATTTTTTTCTGTTTATAACTCAGAGAGAATATAATTATATAATTTATTTTAACAACTCGGTAAGCATAACTATCCTTTTTTTTTTTGGTTTTTTTGGAGACAGGGTCTCGCTGTGTAGTTCAGGCTGGTTTTGAACTCACTTTGTAGCCCATGCTGGCCTCAAACTTGCAGCTTTCCCACCTCAGCCTCAAGTGCTGAGATTACCAGGATGTACTGCCACACCAAAATGGACTTTTGTTTTGATACTGGAGATTGAACCTAAGGCCTTCACACCAAGCTATACCCAGCCCTTCTTTAATTTTTTTTATTTTGAGACAGAGACTTGCTAAGTTGTTGAGATCGAACTTAAACTTTTTCAGTTATCTGTCAGTCTCCCAGAGTGTTGAGATTATAGGCATGCACTACTATGCCTCACTGTGGGAACAGTTTTTATGAACTAAGGTTATGCTGCCAGTGATTAAAGGTGGTGGATTCATTTAATTATCTGTCTTGCTGAAATTGGTAGGGATTCAGCATGTTTTAAGTTACTTTTCAATATGCTCTTTCAAGAATATAAAGAGTGAAAATTCGACTTTGGACCAGAAATCAGTAGGAAAATAACTGGCTTAATAATTATTTGTAAGCCAGTCTTCCATGTGTTTGGACTGTGAACGTGATTATACCCCAGATGAGGCCACAGTGCCCGAAGGTCGGCGCTTATGTAAGTCCTAGCTGCAGGGCAGGTGTCAGTGTCCACAAGTGAGGCTTCCCATGGTTTTTATGAATAACTTTTTTTGTGGTGGCATTGGAAACATCCGCGGCTTTTGTAGATAGCAAGCTTTTCACTAGTTTTTGGCTCAGTTTAACTAATACAGATCGAGTTCCCGGGTTGCATGACAGCAAAACACGAGGTCCTCACTGTGTAAGGCAGAATATCATAGGGAATCCACACTCAAAGTTTTGTCTGACACGGGGCCTGTGACAGAGTTGTAAGAACAAGGCATTTGAGGTAGGTTTTGAAGAGTGCGTGGTAAAATGAGAGGTATGGTCACTCCGTCCTGAATGAGAAGAGATGAATTGAGTCTAGGGTAGGGAAGACCTTAAGTACCTGGGTGGAAGTTTGTGCAGTTTTCCCTTTACTAGGAAAAGGAAAATTTCTTCAGTTTTGAGAATTATGGCCTAGTAAATATCTATTAGAATCATTCTCAGTGATAAATAGAAAAAGAGGGAGCTGGGGCTTGGAAAGAGACCTTCCAGCAGATTACAGAGGCTAAGCACAAGCGTGTGCTTTGAGTCTGGGGCATAGAAGCAGCTAAGCCGGGGACCCTGGCTCCACTTGTCATCCCTTGCACGGTGGACGGGAGAGAGCTAAACTCTGTGGCCAAGGAGCTGGCAGGGTTCAGCAAAGCATGGAATTGTTTTAGACTGAGCTAAGGCTGTGTAGCCTTGTACTGAAGAAACAGGAGTGAAATGTCACCTGAAGTCTTTTCACAAGAAACCAAATCACCATGGTTCTCTGGGACCACAGTCGAATTGGGGGCACACAGCCACATGGAGTCACACACCTGGCTGAACACTGAAGATTTGAATGGTGACCTAGTCCCAGGGGAAAGGACCACATCCTAGCAAATACACAATGTCTACAACAAAAGCGAGCCAGTGTATATATGAGGCGTCTCTTGGAACTGGCTCCAGGCAAGGTGGTGTGTATCTGTCATCCCAGCACCCTGGGAGGCTGAAGCAAGAGGATCACAAGACTGAACCCGGCCTGGCCAACTTAGTCCCTGTCTCAAAGTAAAACATAAAAAGGATTGGGACATATCTCAGTGTGAAGACCCTAAGTTCAATCCCCGGGATTTATAAGAAAAATTGAGGGGAGAGTCCTGAAAAAGTATAAGTAGAAACTAGACATGTAATTTCTATTAGTATTAATTTCAGTTCTGACAAATATATATGTTTTAAATTTAGTATGTTATCTTTACAGTTATTTTTCATGAGTTTGTAAAAAGTAGTTGAAAGAGCTCTCATGGGTTTCATCAAGTTATCGTTCCTGGCCTACTTTTCCTATCAATTCCTTAGGTCTCTGAGTTGTGAATTCTATTCCATGGGACACTTTTTTTTCCATGCGACATTTTAAGAGCCACACAGTAGGGAAGGAGTGTCCCACACATGCGACTGTTTAGTGGCCAGTGAGGAATTGTTTAAGGTGTTTACATGGGGAAATACTGTAATCTGAGTGGGGCCTTTGGAAGATTCCTTTGCAGGAGAACATAGGCTGTATTGCTGGAGGAGGGACTGGAAGAGGAAGGTCAGTTAGGAGGATGCTAAAACTATTCCCAAGGAGAGCCCATGAGGGCCATAGCTTGGGCGGTGGCGGTGAGTGTGTTGATGACCAGTGCTCTCATTTACCTGTCAACAAGGTCACATTAATCCCTCCTCACACTTTATCCAAAGTGGTGAGCGCAACCGCTGGGAAACAGACCAACTAGTATAAAATCAGTCAGCAAGACTGTCTCTGAGCCCCTCACAGTGCAGGTGCAGCCTTCCTCCTTCCCTCCCACATGTGGCCGTGTACCAGGTGGAGTTGGGGAGGAAGAGGGTCCGATTGCTTGAGTGGGAAGTTATCGCTCTGTTTTCCCCCCCAGGCCCAACAGTGGGATTTAGGGGCAGCAGGTCCGTGAGAGAGGCCTAGATTCAAGATGGTGTCTGGGAATAGCCTTGCTGTGCCCGTTTCCCAACCTTTGTGGGTCTCCACCCATAGATGGTATGGGTTTAGCAGATAAACATTAGGTGATGTAAAGCCAGAGTGATACAATGGAGGCAACTTCAGGAGCAGGTTGTGGCTTGATCGTATCTTCTACTCCTATCAGTAGAATACAAATTCTTGAGCCAAAGGAGGCAACCTGCCTCTAACCTGTAGCTAAGTCTTAGTCATGGTTGCATGGTCTGTCATCTACAAATTATCTTAGACTACTGGAGATGATTATGGTGCTGTGGAAGGAACTGGTAAATGACACACAGAATCACAGAAGTGGGTAAAACAACAACAACAGAAAAACATTTACTTTGCTAGCAAGGGGGTCAGCCTGTACCAAAGGCTGTGCTAATTCACCAACCCTGGGTTGGGGTGACAGTCTGTCTTTTATGGGAGTCTTACAATCATGACCTCATTTTAGACAATAAGACATTTTGGTTCCCACAGTTCCCATCACAAATCATGGTCACAAGACAGTTCGGTGTTAACCCAAATGTAGCATTTTCTTTCAGGATGTTTATCTTTAGCTATTCCAATCCACAAGAGTGGGGGTCAGGGTTAGAAAAGCAGGACTGGTGACAATTATTTCATCTTAACTTCTTTATTTCAGATTATTTATAAAAGTCCTCTCTATCAATGGGAAGTAGCAGAATTATTGACAGACAGCGGGACTGGATTAAGCATATTGATATGAATAATTTGGTACAAATAATTACTCAAGTTATCCTCATCAACTAGGATTTTATTTTGCCTGGTAGCATTATGGACATAAGAATACCCTTTAAGATTCAAAGCCAATATAAAGTCAATGAAAGAAAAATTGCTGACAGAACTGAGCTTTGAGAAATAGGAGCCCTTCAATGATTGGATATTCAGGTTAAAGCAGAGTTAATTATAAAGCTTTTGACTGGAAGGAATTTCACAGTGCTTGGCATCCTTCCTTGCTCGGTAAGTTATCAGTTAACCCTAGACTCATTACCTTTGGCATTGCAGGGCTGTCATTGAAACAAAGCTTTTTCTGTATAGCACTGTGCTTGTATCTAGAAGGTCTCAGAGCCCAGAGCAGATCTGAGGGAATTCAGAGGGCTATACAGGAAGTGCTTCTTGGAAGAGTTTCTACACTGTTTTCTAGAAACGTGCTTCGTAAGAGCAGATGTTTGATTCTGCCCCTTAGTGAGACAATAGGGGAGATGTGGAAGTAATTCAGGATTCTGGTTAGATTCTAACAAATTTATTTTACAGTTCAACACTTCTTTAGGATGGGAAATAATACGAGATGGGCTATGATCTTGTCACTTGGAGAAAGAGGCATCCTTATTGGAGTAAATGGGAAGTTTATGGTTGGCCACAGGGCATGGAAGATTAAGGCTGGTTCTCTTCTGAGAGGACACTGGGCTTTCTGGAGAAGTAGGGTTGGGCAGGGCCACGTGGTAACAAAGTACCTTAAATTCTGAAGAGATGGGAATAGCTGTGTTCTATCTCATAAGAACCGCCCCAGCCAATGTCTGTTTTGCTTGTTATTCTAGGGCCGCCTTTTTGCCTATCCTGACACTCACCGCCACCGCCTGGGCCCCAACTATCTTCAGATACCTGTGAACTGTCCCTACCGTGCTCGAGTGGCCAACTACCAGCGAGATGGCCCAATGTGCGTGAATGACAACCAAGGTAGGCTAAAGGCAGTGGGCTGCCCTGGGGAGCCAGGCCAGGGCTTCGGCAGTGGCCCCTCAGTGACCGTGCTCCCCAACAGCGACAGTGTGCCTTGGATACTGCCAGCTCCAGTGTTGCTGTGAAAGTTTTAAATCCCTGAGGGCTCTCCCTGCTCTGATCTGTTTTACATCTTTTACTGAGTGTGCCTGCCTTCGATTTTATTTGCTGTCCATCCAGAAGTTGAAGGCAGGGAGAAAGATCTCTTGCTGGCTGTAATCAAGCGTATCTAACTTAGGGGTCACAAAATGGCAATTCCTGAAATCACTCCTTAATCACCAGAACTTAGATCTTTGGAACTGCAAAAGCTCAGAGTTCACACCTTCTGCCTCTGTTTGTAGTTCTATTGAGCCATGACTTTGGAAGGGATAGGATGGATAAGGGCAGGGAAGCAGAGGAGGTGGAGAGGCGTCCAGGAACTCTCCCCTCCTCTGCTTTTCCTGAGTGAATATAGTTGAATTCATGTAAATCAGCTGGTGAGACAACACCCCACTGACAGTTATGATTTTTTTCTTTTGATTACTGATTTTGGCGCCATATGTAAACAAACTTATTTAATTTAATTTATTTTTTTGGTACCGGGGATTGAACTAAGGACCTTGCACTTGCAAGTCAGGCACGGTGCCACAGAGCTAAATTCCCAGCCCCAAACTCTAGTTTTAGTTACTTTATAGCCAAGCAGAATGTTTGATTAATGTCTTTCTTTTAGTACTCCACAGGTTAATGTAGATCTGATTTTATTACTTAGGGTATATGTGCTTTAGTAATTTCACTGGTGATTTAAATTTATAGCGATAGGTGTCTATATTAAAACAGAAGTTATTTTTCTATGATAAAATAATCCATGTTTCTTAAAAGAAATTTGGGAAATATAAGAGAAGAAAAACCCTCGCATGGCCCCAATATCCAAAAGGCCATGACTATTATGTTTTTTAGATTATCTTGTGCTTTGCTTCTGATACTGTTACTAAGTCTTTCCATGTATTTAACAAATGTATATGCTTTCTGACCAGTTATATTTACCGGTTGTAATATTTCTGATGCCTAAAGTTTATAGAGACATAAATTATGTTATTGTCTGTGTAGCTGGTATCCCCTGTGTCTGTCTTCTGCACTTTCATTTTTCTTTTCTTTTCCTTCCTTTTCTTTTTTTATTCACATGCTTTGGTCCTTTTGTTACTGAAACTGTCCGTAGCAAAGATGTTCACGTGTATTCTGAACTTTATTAATAACCACTTCATTAATAAGCATTCTTGGTTACCATTACAGTGTACTTGTGAGAAGCTTCTGGGAGCTGTATTTTAACACATTCTACCAACATTTAGAAGTCAGAATTTGAGCTGCGCCCTGAAAGCTTCATAAAGAGCTTTATGGTTCCCAGTAGTCAGTGCCTTCCAGGCCATTCCCACTTTGAGGAAAGGTCAGGGCTTACTGCAAAGTAGAATTTAAAAGTTTCTCAGATGGGCACACTTCAAAGAGCTCATTGCAGAGAACACTGGTGTCTGGTTGTTGGAGCTTTGTGCTTTTTGTGTAGACATGGCTGGCCTGGGAAGATTTCTTGAGCTAAGAATTGAGGTCTGTAATAGTCTAGTGTCCTTTTCTCTACAGATTGTGCCGTGGTCAGTGCGTATGTGCACGTCTCCAGATTACGCCCTGTAGACAGTCTGTTCTGGCAGTGAGCTAGGTAAATTTCCAGGTGAGGGCTGGGTGTTCCTACCGTGCACTGCATTTCTGGGTCACTGCTGTTGAGGCACTGTGGGCAGAGATTGGCTAAGCTTCTGCTAATATCAGTCAGGGCAGAGGATAGCGTGGTAAATAAATATGGCAAAATGAACAAAAAAGTGTCTTATTCTAGAAGTCATCGAAAATGTTTTGATTACTTGTGTTACTATTTCTGTGAACCCAGATAAATAATGGCTCACATACTACAAATATAAAACAGTTTTTAAAATCCCTTCATTTTTTGTTACCTGTGGAGGCAAGTGAAAGTGAAGCTAGACCTGAATAAAGTTATCGTAATCAATAAAGGAGAGACACCCTGAAAAACATTAAAAACATGGGAAGGAAAGTGAACTAGAACTCTGTAATGGAAATACAGTACATGCTGGGCTGGAAGAGACAAACTACCCAGAGCTTTCATCCCACACCCACCGCTGCCTCCTGGGGGAAGTTCTGGTAGCAGCCAGTGAAGATCTCAGTCTATACTTAGTATTTAATGGAAGCAGTGGGACCAGAACTTCCGCGTTGCTCCCAAGAACCTACGACTTAGTGTTTGAATGGAGCCCAAGTCCCAGTGAAAGTTGAAATTTGAAATGCGCCTTTGGGTCTGATCTCAAAAGTGGCAAAAACAAGCCTTCTAAGATACATACTTGTGGGCTGGGGATTTTAGCACAGTGGTACTGCCACCTGCCTCACGAGTGCAAGGCCCTGAGCTCCATTCTCAGTACCAAAACAAAACACAAGATATGTACTTGTGCAGGTGCGTATGGCTGACAGCCTTTGAAGTGTACAAATGAACTTGGAGATCTCTGTGTTCCAACTCAGGCTGAGGTGGCCTGGGTGAGCAGTTAAAGATGCAGCATTCTAGCTGGGGATGGTGGTGCTACCCACCTGTGATCCCAGCCGCTCCGGAGGCTGAGGCAGGACTCTTGCAAATTTGGGGCCAACCTGGGTGACTTAGCAAGACGTTGTCTCAAACAGAACAAAGCGAAACAGCTAAAGATATAACTCAATGCTCCTCGAATTTAATCCCCAGTATCAGGGGAAAAAAAAAAAAAAAAAAAGAAGAAGTGCACATTCTCTAAGACTTCCAAGTTCCTGTAGCTAAATATAGGAATTGAAAAATCTCACGCATGCCGCGTGTTTTCCTGGGTACATGCACATTTGCTACTTGAGTTTATTTCTTCCCCTGTGGACTGCAGAGAGACTCACTTCCGCTCATGTTCCTGAGTGAGTGTGTGGTTTCCTTTCAAGGTGGCGCTCCCAACTATTACCCCAACAGCTTCAGCGCCCCGGTGGAGCAGCCCTATGCCCTGGAGCACACCAGCCGCTGTTCTGCAGAAGTGAGGCGCTACAGCAGCATGGATGAGGACAATGTCACCCAGGTAATGGTTCCGTGTCTGCTGGGGCAATCACTTGCTAATTCTCCTTGTCAGTGCCCGCATACTCGCCCTCTTAAAGCATCTCAGATTGAGCTTTCGGAAGACTTACTTCTCTCTCTTCATCAGGCCCTTTACTGGATGGCAGAGAAGAGTTAGTTGTGTTCTGCTTTTCTTTCTGCACATCTCATTTCCCGTACGATTGAGGCCACTGGGGGAATGAGAACTCCCGGGAATCTAAGAAACGGGCAAACATGGCTCAAACACCAGTGAGGCTAAACATGCGGGCAAATCCCGGGGTCTAAGGCGACCTGAGGAGCCATGGTAGCCGTGGGGCCCTTGACGAAGGGCGTGGGGCTTGCGCCCCGGGCTCACGCACCGAGCAGGTGACCCAGCAACTCTGCAGCGGCTGCTTTAGCTTCCTTCTGGCTCTTTGTTCCTACCGCATCTGCCTGTTTTCCCTCTGTGCCCCATGGCTTCTGCAGTGCGGTTGCAGTGACTTTGTTGTGACCATGGCCTGACTCTCCTTCCCAGCTTCTTCTTCCTCTAGGTGTCATGTTTTTGCCTTTTTTGTGCACCTTTTACTCATGCCTTCAGTGCTGCCGTGTTGGTTTTAGGGAGAGTCAAGTTGACTCGGCTGATCTCTATCCCTCAGGTTGTGTCTTTGGACTTTGGTCGCCCGTAATTAACTGCCCTGGCCAAGTGCTCATCCTGTTTCCAGTCATCTGTGGCTGCTCTCAGGGCACGTTGAGTAGTGGCCGGGTTGGGCCTGTGCCTGGGTAATCATCTCAATAACCTGTCCAGTATAGCTAACACCGAGCACAACAAAAAGGCAGAAAAGTTCGAGGTGGTGTTGTTCTGGAGATCTGTGTGGATGGTTTGTGTTAAGCGTCAAATCTAAATTACCTCAGAACCTGTGCTAGTCAGCCGTCCCCTTGCTGGGGAAGATTACTTGACACCCACAGCTCACAGGAGGAGGGGTTCGCTTGCTTTAGTTTCAGAGGTTATAGTCCATGGTTGGCCAGCCCCAAAGCAGAAACATCACAGCGAAAGCTGCTTAGTTCGGGGAGGCTGGGAAACAGAGCAGGAACAGAGCCCCAGAAGATGAGGCAGGGACCCCGTACATTCAGTAGTGTGTTAACTGGTATTTAACAGCTGGGTCCCCGGAGGAGAAAGGTCGGTTTATAGCGTTTGTCAATTTTCATGGTAGGACTATTCCCCAGGGCAGATTTTAAGCTAAACATGAAGTCACTGAACCCACCGAACTGTGAAGTGATAATCAGTATCACTGTCACTGGATTGCTACCAGTGAGGTACACTAGACACACAAAGACCTCAAAATCTTAGGTTACCTGTGTTAATTAGACAGTGATGTGTTTTGAGTGTTTGTTAGTTTTTGTGTATTTATTACTTTTATTATTTGTACTGATATTGTATGTATATATAATTTACTTTTTTTTTTTTTTTTGGTACCAGAGATCGAACTCGGGACCTTGCACCTGTGAGGCAGGTCACAGAAGCACTGAGCTAAATCCTGGCCCTTTAATTTACTTTTGATAACAGCTGTCTTTGACAACTTGCCCACAAGGTCCCTGAAAATGTGATATCGTGCTGTCACAAGAAGGTAGCCGCAGGGCACCCCTGAGGGTGCAGTTACAAACTCCTTTAGTTCAGTGGACGGAGGTGACATAGAAGGCTTTTCTTTTTTTGCTAACCCATAGACATGCTAGATTAAATTTTCTTTTAAATAATTTAGCTAAGCTAAAAATTTCCTTATCTTCAAGTCCCGGAAATGGAGTTGCAGTAGTAAGTGAACACTGAAGGTGTGTATATAAATTGCAAGGTGGTAATCAGAACTGATTTGCCCTTTGTGATTATTTTATGCCTCCCAGGGGCGAGGAGTTGAAGCTTCAGGCTTCATGTATCGCAGGGAGCTAGAACTGGTCTCCTGGTGTAATGGTGAGGACCAGGAAAGAGCGCTCCAGTGGGTCAACTGCCCAGCAGGCTGATGACGCAGCTTGGGAGCATTTGGGCCCTAGAGGAAGCGGTCCATCCGAGAAAGTGAGAGTCCTCTCTCTGCTGTGCTCACGGGAAAGCTCTGCATTCTCGTTCCATGGAGAGCCACGTGAGAGACCTCTGAGCTGAGAATCAAATGTGTCAGGAAGAGTTTGAGGCCTTCGAAGAGGTGATGCGAAATCACATGAAGACATCTTCTGAGACAGGATGTCTTTGGTTCTTCTCCAGAGACGACTCGTGTTAAAGATGAGTTGCCAAACATACAAGGAAAGTCACAGCACATGCAAGGGGACCAGTGCAGCAAGACATTGCACGTAGAGTGGACAGGGAGAATGACACACATGATAATCTGAAAGAGGCTTTGAAGTAAGCATGTATACAGGCTTAAGGAGGTACAGAAATGGCTGTCACCCGTAAGGCATGAGGGGGAAAAATTAAATTTGAAAAAGAACCAAATAGGAATTTCTAGAAACATTAAAAATACAATGTCTGAGAGGAAAATTGAACAGATATATAGAGACTCAATGGATATTTATATAAACATTAGACAAAGCTCAAGAGAGGGTTTGTGAACTGGAAACATAGGTGAGGAAATCTGCAGGATACAGTGCTTTAATTATATTATATTTAATTATATTAATATTGAAAAATTGAAAACTTTGGTGTTGGATTTAAAACTTGCTTAAGTGTGAAAAAGTAATACTATCCTGATATTGATATTTAGAAAAATGATACGTATCTCAATATTTTTGAGATATTTGTTACTTTGGATAACTGGGCTTTTCCTTCATAAACATTAATAGAATAGCGCGTAAAGCAGAGTCTGGTGCAATAAATATTTGTCGAATGAATGGATGAAATGTTAGAAAAGCTACAACCTAGAAATGATTGCTTACAAAACTGAGCAGAAGGCTGGGGATTAGCTCAGTGGTTCCACTGTCGCCTTACAAGCACGAGACCCAAGTTTGATTCCCAGAACCACCTGCCCCAAATTGAGTGGAGACTAGTAGAGCTCACACACCTGATACTAAGCTCCTACTTATAATTTTAATCTATTGGTATTTGTTCTAGGGATAAACCCAATCAGTCAAGCAAAATGTCACTACTAATATCTGTCTTACCCAAGAAATTTTGACTTCTGAATAACTACAGACACAAATTATATAAATAAATTAGTTTTTATTTCCTCCCTGGTTTTGGGTAAATCGAACCGAGGCTGTGTTGTGCTCAGTTTACATTCAAAGACAGCTTGCACCTTCTGGACTTGGTAGATTTAGATTGCAGCGGGGTTTTTAGCTTGTAGGTTCCGCATTTGCAAAAGGTTCATAAGGGGTGACTGCAGAGGATCTAACTGAGAGCCAGCTTTGTGCTGTTATCAGCAGATGAATCCCTCCTGTTCTGCTTACAACAAAACAAAAAATGAACAACTGAACACAAGTGCTTTTCCGTTTTAATTTTAAATTATCCTTAAATTTAAACGTGTTAATTGGCATTTGGAGCGTGGCGTGTTGGGTGAGTTGTGTTGGTGGTGAACCGATTATTTGATTCTTGGTGCTCGCTCTTTGCCGAGCAGGTGCGGACATTCTATACTCAAGTGCTGAACGAGCAGCAGCGGAAGCGCCTGTGTGAGAACATTGCCGGCCACCTGAAAGACGCGCAGCTCTTCATCCAGAAGAAAGCGGTGAGTCAGTCTTGGCCGGCTGAAGAGTGACACCTGCTGGTTGGAGGTGATATTACATCTGTGTGAACGAACCCTAACAAGAAAGTGTCCTTTCTGTTACTTGAGTTAAGACGGTCTTTAGAAAAAAGTAAGAACGTGGCCTGACGTACGAACAACTTGAGTTAATTAGGTTAATGGAAGAGTCATCTGCCTCTTGTTATCTATAGCGTGTACCCAGGTAAACATCCAGATCTCAGCTGTAATGACTTACATCCAACTTCAGTTTCAAACAGCCCTCGGGAACCAATCAAGTTCATAAGTCAAGGGTCCACTGTACTCCTCAATCAGCCTTTCATTATTTTCTCTCCATGTTTTATGTGGTATGACATGTTCAGGGTGTCTTCTGTCCTAACTGCAGCTGAGTTCTGTACAACATAGTAAATGTCTGATATAAAAATGGCTCCTGCCACAATTTTGCTTAGGCTTTAGGTGATAAGAAACATGGCTTTCGTTTTTTGTGGTTTAAAATCTGCCTACAGGACTTAATGTGATGACATCTCGACTCTCCTCCAGCTGCAGTCTAGAAACATCTGTTTTCTTTGTGGAGAGCTTCCTTGACCTAAATGCAGGCTGGACTTTGGAGCTAAGGGGCTAGGATTTTTCTGATGGCTGCTCACTGAGCCACGTGACATCCTTTGGCTTTTGGTGTCCTGCAGGTCACAGAGATGTAGATCTGGGAACACTGCCATTCCCTTGTGAGTTGGTTGCTACGCTCCTGGGTTCAGGAATCAGCAGACTTCGGTGGTTGCTTTGTGTGATAGGTGGGTGGGCTTTATTTTGCTTTACTTATGAGGGTGAGTAAGACAGTTGTAAGAGTAAGGACTGGGCTCGCACCCTGAGCAGTCTTCTCCTACATAGGATGAAACAGTAAGGCATCCTATGGCTTCACGATTCCTTCTTCCCACTCTGCCTGCTGAGCACAGCCTGTGATCAGGAATTCTTGCCAGGCAGGGGTGAAATAGTCATTGCTCTACGATCAGGCAGTGCCTGGCCCAGTTCTTGATACAAGTCACTGTACGCAGCTTATTAATTACCTATCTGAGGTCAGCTCTTTGTGTGTAGTAATTGCGGGTCGGCTTATGTGTTTTCTCATATTCTGTGAGGTTGGCTGTGGTTTTTATTTTCCCCGCTAAGAAGCAGCTCTCTAGCTCTGACAATAACCTGGCCCTTACAAGTCAGTTCAATCCCGACAGTAAATCCCGGGGGTAAGGGTCAGCCCTCCAAGACGCTCCCACTTCTGATGTCGGATGAGGTACCCTGGCTGCCCGTGCTTCTGCAGATTCTCACTGCAAGCTCGGGGTCCCCCAGCCTTCCTTGGGCTTGGCAATTGCTAGAACAACTCAGAATTCAGGAAAGCACTTTACCCATTCGTTGTAAAGCCTGCAACTCAGGAGCAGACAGATGGAATAGAGTAAGTGTATATGGCAAGGCATGGCTCTCCCATCTTCCCAGGTTTGCTGCCCTTCCAGGATCTCGGTGTCCTCGCTGACTCCAAAGTTCCTTGATCCCTGTCACTTAGCGGTTATGGATGGCGGTTTCATGACATAACATGTGTGATCCGCTCATTGGCCACGTGTGGTAGAACACAGACTCCAGCCTTCCTTCCTCACTGGGTTCAGGGGTGGAGAGAGAAGCTCTTCTAACCACGTGCTTGGTCCTTCTGTTACCACTTCCATCCCAAGGCTCTGGGTGCCCCACGAGTCATCTGAGTAGCCCGCAGACGTCAGTCAATCACAAGGATTTCAGAAGCTCTGTGCCGGAAAAGTAGAGTGGAGACCGAGAATTGTTTATGACACCACCTAGGTGTAATTATCTTGCTCAACTAGCAGAGGGGATACTGAGGCTCAGATAATTTAAGCGACCTTACCCAAGGTTGCCCAGCCTGTGCCTGCCAGAGTCTGCCCTGGACTCTCAGGTCTTCCTCCAGGGTGGGAGCCTTTCAACAGAGCATGGCACTGCTTCCTGCTGAGACCCGCTTCCTCCTCTGTGAATAAACACTGCGAGGCAGACACTGGCGAATGGCTGAGGGGTGCGGTTTAGGTGATGCTTATGTTTATTTTCATTTGCTTCTAGGTCAAGAACTTCACGGACGTCCACCCCGACTACGGGGCCCGCGTCCAGGCTCTTTTGGACAAATACAACGCTGAGAAGCCAAAGGTGAGGCGGGAGCTGCTGCGCTGTGGCACAGAATGTGTGTTCTGGATCAGACGAGACAGTTTCTACTTAGCATTATTCTCTTTGGGGACCATTACCTGCAAGTAACAAATTCCTGAAGCAGTTTTTGAAACTCCCTTGAGGTATAAAGAAGTCACTTGCAAAACACTGTTGTTTTTAAGTTTTGCTTTTATTAGTACATGCTCTCAGGGCATCATGACCACGTTTACTGTGAGGTCTTGGTACACGTACATGATGCATCCCTTTCACCCCTTACCCCTCCGCTCTGAACAGGATAAAACAGCTCCAAGTGGGTGGACTCTGATTATTATGTCCACTTGGGTACAAATGAAAGGGAAGACCGATTGCACATTTCCACTGCCAGTGAGTTCATTAAACTGCTGGTCTTGTTATTTTGAAACAGAATGCGATTCACACCTTTCTGCAGGCCGGATCTCACTTGGCTGCCAAGGAGAAAGCTAACCTGTGAGGCTCCCTCACCGGGCAGCTCTGACCCTCCTCCCGGAGCATCGTGCTCACACCCTAACCTGCTCGTCGCTGCATGGAAGATTCTCCTGCGCCAAGCGCACAGATGCAAGCTAATGTCTTTGAAATGATAATCCAGGTATCTATAGCAAATCAAGTAGCAATGGCTTTCAGTGCTGTTTCCCTACAGAGAAGTAAAGGATAGGGCTTACCAATCACTAAACATAAACACGTGTTTGCATTTGACAGTTGGTTGGATTATTCATTTAAAATGACCAGAAGTTTCTAACCAGAAACATGATTTTTTTTTTTGTAAGACAAAAATCTTGCTGAAATGTAGTATGTTTATCTATCATCTCGTGGCCTATTATATGAAAAATTATATGTCTATAATTTATACAATAAGAAAAGACAAAGATGTCCCAAAGAATATTATTTTTCTAAGGTCCTTATAGGAAAAGCACACTTAATGAATCACTGTCTTCAGGAAATAACTTTAACACTTAATGTTTATTCCTGTTTGTAATTGATCAGATTCACTTTTTTTTCCACCTGAAGTTTATGCTAATACTGCACTGATTTTATAGTAGGTTGACTTGTAATTGCATACATTTTTACAATAAAATAATCTGTATGTAAGAATAGAAAAAATGGTGTTTGGTTTCTCTTGACCCCACATATAACTTGAAGAGTACCACTAGATAATTTGAACATCCTCTTCTGATGTTTACCTTAAATATGGAAGTGCCAGGATGGTGAAGGTACCACATTGTTTGTTTAAATCAGAAGTCTTCGAACAGCCGTGTGGGTCACTGACAAAATAACAGATGTCTTAACTTTGAAAATTACTTAGATCTCTTGTCCATAAGTGCCTTTATTTATGAATTTTTAAAACAAGAACTCAGAGCTACTAGCTATTATTTTTATTTTTAAACTCATAATTGCTTAAAAAGCACAAGTTACAACTTTAAGGGTGAATTCTTCATATGAAGGGCAAGCCTGTTTTTCTTGAAAAATTTTTGTTCTTTTCATCTTAGAAACCACTTTGTACTGGTTTTCATGAATTTTCTGAGATGTAGGTTTCAGAAAACCACTAGTCCAGTAGCAGATGGACATAAACGCTCATTCTTTTCACTTCCAGCTTCTTCACTCTCTTTTCAAACTCTTCTGCCTCAGTTTCTCAAATAGGTTTGAAACTGTTCTGTTTGTAGACACAGACAGTAAACTATTGATACCCAAGGGTGTAAGTACTATCAATACAGTGACTTTACTCTAGTTGTCGCTCTTTTTTTTTTTTTTTGGTACCGGGGATCGAACTTGGGTCCTTGCACTTGCGAGGCAGGCAGCAGCACCACTGAGCCAAATCCCTGGCCCCTAGCTGTCTCTTTACAGTAGTAGCTCTATAAGATAAAATCATGAGAACTAATATAATTGGAAAATAGGGAGGGAGATTATTTGAATATTGGTTATACATGTAAAGACAGAATTTTTGAGATCCATTTCTACTTTATTCTATTTTGTAGTCTAAAAATAAGTCGGTAGCTTAAATCACATGTATCTTACGTGCTTCCTGGGAGGAAATGTCTGACAGGTGAAAGTGTCCTTGGCTCTGCTCTGGAAACCTCGCACTGTGATTTTCAAAGATAAGCACTAACGAGTTTAACTTCTGTCGGTTAGCCTTCACTTCCTGTCTAGTTGTGTTCCTCGTAAGTGACATTGAGTGGTGTCCTAAGAGTTTCTGAGCCAGTTTACAAGGAGGATGAAATGACAGGCAGTGTATTATAGTGACTTTGGTGCGTCATTCCCTACCTGTGGGAACTTGAGCAAATCGCTTCACTCCCCTCAGTGTTTGTTCCTTCATTGCTAAATGGGGCCAGTGACTGTCCTTCTCTCCCTATGGTCGTGTGGTGATCATTCACCATATTTAACTCTGACCATATTTTTTGCGGCTCAGCCCTCCCAGTGCTGTATCTGGTCAGCCTTTGCTTGATAATGGACTGCTTTGCAACTCCACGGTTTAAAACAGAGATCACGTGTCATCCTGCATCTAAGTTGGCTGGGGGTCTGCTGGGTGTTTTGGCTGGGACAGCTCTGAGTCACACGACTCTGCCCTGGGGCCCACGGTGATGGTAGAGGTGTGAGAATGTGGTCCCAGTTGTACAAGTGCTTGTTAAGCCTTTGTTCACGTCATGTGTACCAGTAGTTCATCGCAAACAAGCCTTATGGGTAAGCTCAAAGGTAAAGGGTGAGGAAGTACCTACTACCCACGGAGCTGAAGTGTGTGTGTGTGTGATTGGAACATATGGTGAATGTTTACAAAATTGATTACAGTAGAAGACATTGCTATTAATCCCCCTCAAGATACCCACCCTTGCTTTGTACACACTTACCGCATTGTTCTTGCCCCTTTCTGAGGCACTTCTGAAGTCCTCTTTCGTGAGTGTCTTTAATTGATCTCATGCCTGCTTCGATGTCCTGAGCTGATTCAAAATCTTTACCTTTCACGGTCATTTTGGCTTTGGGGAAGAGGTGGAAGTCATCGTGTCGGGTCCAGTAAATAAGGAGGATGAGGACACACTGTGATCAAGCCTGCCTTTCCATCAGATGGCCCTCAGCAGCGGCGTTTGTGATTCCACATTGTCAAGATGCTCAGGAGAGGGGACTTCCAGAAGTTCAGACAGCGAGAACTATGGGATAAGTGTGCTCGAAGTGGCGATGGGGTTGGGGTGGGGAGTATTTTGAGGGAGATTTGTGACAATGTCTTACACTATAATACATTTTTAAAAATTTAAACATTCACAGCATTTTTTTTTTTTTTGGTCAGCTTTTGTATCCAAACGATAATCTACCGGTCTTTCCCTCCCATTTGTGTACTTTCAGCCCAGTGACAGAGGCACCTTTTCACTCTTCATCACTCTCTTCATTGCCTTGTTTGCATTTTACTCTGTGCTTATTTTATAGAACTCAGACCAGCCCTGCACACATTCCTGATCTGACCCTTCCTGCCCCCTCTTCCGTACCCTTCTTCTTAGCATGCACAGCTGCTGTTATGGCTTAGATCTAAGGTGCTCCAAGAGCCTCACACGCTCACAGGCAGGGCCTTTGGAAGGTGACTGGATTACAGTGCTGTTCCCACTGACTTGCTGTTCCGAGGTGGGGTCTGGCAGGTCACTGGGGCGCGATCTGGGTGGCTGCATCTCCCTCCCTGGCTCCTCTTTTCTCTCCGTTTCCTGGCCACCATGATGTGAGCGGTTTTCCTCCACCCAGGCCCTTCCACCATGCCCTTCCTTTCTTGGATCCAGCCAACCACAGACTGAAACCACGCACTGAAATGAACCTGTCCTCCATTAAGCTGCAGGTGTCAGGCATTTTGTTCCATCCCCAAGGAAAGTAACTAAGACAACTAGTTTCTGGCTTTTTTTTTTTTTTTCTTTTTGGTGGCATTAGTTGCCTGGGACTGGGTTGAAGCTGTGCCTTTGGGAACATTTGGCCAATTCTTATGCCTTCTGGACCTGAGGTTGTCAATTGCCATTCAGTTTTGTTCTTGCACTATTGTATTTTGATTTTGGTTTTGGTTTTTAATGCAATCCAGAATTTTTTTTTTTTTTTTTTTGTGTGTGTGTGTGTGTGTGTGTGTGTGGTGCCAGGGACTGAACTCAGGACCTTGCGCTTTGTGAGGCAGGCGTGGTGCCACTGAGCTAAATCTCTGGCCCCAATCCAGAATGTTTGTATATTTTGAATTTCTACCCCTTCCCTGGCCATCTGAATAGATGAGTACCATGTTTAAAGCATCGGACCAAAGCTCATAGGTTGAAAAAGATTTTCAGGAAGTTGGACATTGCTAGCCAGTGGAGAATTCGGGGTGTTCAGGCAAAGACTTTGGCAGTAAAGGAACAGCAAGACTGAGAGGCTCGCAGGACTGGCTGGCCGAAAGGGCCAAATTGTGCAGACCATGGAGTAACACACTCTGGGCTGCTGCCCTCCCTCCTGCACTAGCATTGAAGCAATCCACAAAACAAAAAGTGAACTCCTCTGCTACTTAAAAGAGTTTTCATTTTGTAAAACCTCAAACCAAAGCCTCTGCATTTTCTTCGTCCATGATGAATGACCAACCTTGGGGTCTTATAGCCACAGAGATGTATTCTCTCCCAGTTCGGGAAGCTTTAGTCTGAAGTCAGGCACTGCCCAGCTAGGATCTAGGGGAGGGTCCTTCCCCGTTCCTTCCAGCTCTTGGTGGCTCCATAACTTGCTCCCCCTCCCCCCTTTGGCCTCTTAGAAGGACATTTAGCACTGGATTTAGAGCCCACCTGGAGAATCAAGATAACCTTGAGACCTTGATGATCTGCAAAGTCTCTTTTTACAAATAAGCTCACACTCACAAGTCCCAGGAACTAGGACATGGATGTATCTTTTGAGAGAGAACCTCATTCAACCTGCTGTACTCTTTAAAGTAAGAGTTCCACTTAAGCCTATAGCTCCATAATGTAATTCATTACAGAACAGACAACACAGGGACTATTTTAAAGTACTGCACATTAAGCAAACAATATCAAAGAAAAATGGCAAAAGATGAAAACAATATATAATGTGAGATTCACTTATCAAATAAATAAGAGACTAAGTCCTTCTTTTAAAAAGGATCTGCAATAGCAGGGCATGGTGGTGCACTCTGGGAGGCTGAGGCAGGAGGATCAAAGTTTGAGCCCAGCCTGGGCAACTTGGTGGCTTAGCAAGACCCCATCTCAAAGTAAAAAATAATAAAAAAAATGGGGATGTGAAGGTTCAATCCCCAGTAGCCAGAAAACAAAACACACACACACAAAAACTGCAATGGAGCTTTCTGTAGAATATTTGCAACTTGTTAACAGGTACAGAGGTGCCTCAGTTCACAAACTGAATTTGTCCCATGATTCTGGAAAAGATGGCCACGTTCATGTTCATGTGGGAAAGACGGCCATAGTCACGTTCATGGCCCGATGTAGTTCGCAACAAAACCAAAAGCTTGCCAAATGCTTCTGTTTGCGAACCAAACTGTTTGCAAACAAAAGTGTCCACAAACCGAGGCGCATCTCTACTTAATTAAAAATTCCAAACTTATATAAAACCGCTACTGACCTTTCACATCTCTCAGAGCTCTGCAAAGGATTTTAAATCCCTCCTCCTGGCTTCTCAAATAGTTTTCCATGGACTTTGGCTCTTTGCCCTTTGGTTTTACAAGAAGCAAAGAAGTGGACCAGGTAGCTTATCTGTGGCTTTTGTTAAGAAAAGCCAATGCCAAGCATTCTGAAAGTTCATTTCCTCAGCACAGTTCTCTTTGTCAGAAGGGAAAAGATGAATGTGTTTTTGTTCTATTGTTTTTGCAGTGCTGGGCTTTAAAGCCAGTGCCAGGAGCACGATAAACCAGTGTCTCCCACTGAGCTACATGCACCCCCAGGCTCCAGTCAACCCACCGATGGGCGTTTACAGTAAAATTCTAATGTTTCCTTTGAAGAAGCTGCTCACTTCCGGGGAGCCTGGAAGTGAGCCGGGAAGAGTGTCACAGAGGAAGTGGCCGGGTACACAGTGGCGTGCCTCCAAGAGCACCCGGCCCAAAGTGTGCCTCACTAGTCTGCTAGGTGTTTCCTGACCCACTCTACTTGCCATGTCATGATTAATGGTTACACTTGCTAAGTTGCCCAGGCCAGGGTTGAACTTGCCATCTTCCTGCCTCATCCTTCCATGCCCGGGCTTCCAATCTCAAGTTTCTAAAAAAAAAAAAAAAAAAAAAAA